ACTTTAAATCATTGGCTTAGCATGCTGGAACAAAATAAAGTACTAACTAGGAAAAAAGGAAGCGGTCCTCCGACCACTATAGCGACTGCAAACAACATACGTAAGATGAAAAATTTCTTCAATCATCGGAAGGGCTGCTCACAGAAAAGAGTAGCTAGCAAGCTAAAAACGACTCAGCAATACGTTTCAAAGATACTATTGCAAAGAACAAATATCAGATGTCTAAAACGCACCGTCAAACCAAAGATGACAGCCTTACAAGTCAAGTTAGCAAGGCCAAAGTGTGGACGACTTTTCCTCAAATTTCGTGTCGATTTTAAATGTCGATTTTATTTTGGATGATGAATCGTACTTCACTCTTTCCAACACAACTTTGGCTGGGAATGACCGATTTTACTCAGATGATATTCAAAAGACTCCTACTGATGTGAAGAACAAAATGAAGTCAAAATACGAGTCAAAACTACTTGTTTGGGTGGCAGTTTCACCTCGAGGAATGAGTAGTGTCAAATTTTTCAAGTCTGGCCTGGCAATCAATCAATATATTTACCGTGACGAGTGTATACGAAAGAGGTTGATTCCTTTTATTAACAAATACTATAGGGATGGTAAATACGTATTCTGGCCCGATTTAGCTAGCTCCCACTATGCAAACTCAGTCCACGCCGACCTCAGAGACAAAAAAGTCAATTTTGTACAAAAACAAGACAACCCAGCAAACGTCCCGAAAGTCAGGCCAATTGAGGATTTTTGGGGATTTTTAAAGCAGAAAGTGTATGAGAAGGACTGGCAGGCTAAAACTATCACTCAACTCAAAGCTAGAGTCAGTCTTTGCCTTCGTAATTTGGACAAAGACCTTATACACCGCACCTTCAGCTCGGTACACAAAAGACTCGATTTTGTCAGAAGGAATGGAATCGAAAAACTTTAAAAGACATTTTTTCTAACACTTAAAACTGTTGTTTATAAAATGCCAAAAACCGTTTTAAAAAAAATTGTAAAATGACTGAGATATCTTTTTTTAAAAGTTGGGCAAAATTTTAGTTGTGACCCGTTATCTTTTAATTAAAGTTTTTTCTAATAATTTTTAAAAAATTAATTTTTTTTTTAAAAAAAGAATTTTTTTTATTTAAGTTAATCAAGAAATAATAGACATAAATATAAAATAAAAATTCAATAACATTTCAAAAATAAAAGCATCTTTTAACTCCTGAAAGAAACATAAAACCCCCTCAGAAAGATATAAAACCTTTTGAAATTCTTTTTATCTACTATTTAGGTAATAGTTGCTGAAATTGGAACACTTATAATATAATAATAGTATATATTTGCTGTAACAACAGTATATACATTGTTGAGGAGCATACTGAGATATTATAACAGCCGTTAATGTTATAAATTTCAGTAGTTAGCTTTAAAAAAATTTAAGAATCTTGAACAAACATCATAGTTAGGCAAAGAATTCCAGTTTTTGATTATTCTGTTGTTAAAGAAGATATTTCTTGAGGAACACTTAAAGTTCTTTTTTTCGATTCTTTTACTATATCCACGTATGTTTGATGAAGGACTGTCGCTTGTTAAAAAGGAAACCAATTTGGGATATTTGAACCAATTCATAAATTGCAAACCAATTTGTTATTTTATAGTGGTATATTAAACCCTCCCTAGTTTTTTGATTTTATAAAGTTGTTAAATTTAGTTTCCTAAGTCTTTCTTCGTATGGTAGGTTTTTGAGATCTCCAATAAGTTTTGTGGTTCTCCTTTCTATAGATAATATTAATTGTATATATTCTTATTATAGATAATATTAATTGTACGTATTCTTATATATTTCTATTTTAGACATGACATGTAGTAACTTACGATATAAATTTAAATCAGTTGTAAAATTAAGTGTTAACTTTTCTTCTGATGAGTATCATTATTTAGATAAGATGATATTAATAAACCTTTTTCTTTAAAGTCTTTTTCTAATTTCGTTTTTTTCATTTCGTGGTTTCCATCCGTGTCGTTAATGGTATACTTGAGTGGCATTTTTTTATTACAGATGCGCATGACTTTACATTTTTCTTTATTGAGTTTCATTCCTGTCGATTACTTTATTAATGTCAATTTGAAGTAGATTTAATTCTTTTTTATCGCTTTCATTATTGTCAATATTTGAAATTAATTTGCTGTCGTCAGCATATAATTTGCATTTAGAAGTTAACCGGTCAGGCAAATCGTTTATATATATATAATAAAAAGAAGTGTACCCAGTGCAAAACCTTGTGGCACTCTACTAAATACATCACACCAATTAGATAACTGAGGTTAATAAGATCAATTAGATAAACACTATTAGTTTAAAGTTTTTTTTCGACATTTTTTTTTCAGTGATCTAATTTTTTGCTCACATTATATTGATATAAATCATTAGCAGTTACAACGCTAACCCTCGGTCTAGAGCTCTGTGAAAATAAAGAGTCAACAATGAAAAGACTTGAAACATTTTGAAGGAACGCAGTAAAATTGCTTTACAATGTCTCCAAGTATAGTAAAAACTATATACACTCTTTATTTAAAATTAAGGAGTTATCAAATTATATACGCCAAAACAAAATTAATCTATTTATTTGCTTTTTAAGCAATAAAGTAAAAAAGAATAATATAAAAAAACAATAGAAGAATTATATAATATTCATAAACTGAATATTAAAACCTTAATGTTGGTTAAAAAAAAAAGTAAAATTTAGAGAATCAGAGAATGTAATTCCCAGAAAGGTCCTCGTTTTCCGATATATATATATATATATATATATATATATATATATATATATATATATATATATATATATATATATATATATATATATATATATATGTATATATATGTTTATATATATACATATATATATATACATACATACATACATATATATATATATATATATATATATATATATATATATATATATATATATATATATATATATATATATATATATATATATATATATATATATACATATATATATATATATACATACATATATATATATATATATATATATATATATATATATATATATATATATATATATATATATATATATATATATATATATATATATATATATATATATATATATATATATATAATCGGATTGAATCATAGTTGGTACCGTTGACTAGAAATTTGATACCCTACTATTAATATTCATTCTATTAAGTGAAGCAAAAACTGATTTTTTTGTATCCCAAGTAAAGCCGAAATGATAAATTTGATGGTCGTCTAAGGATATTGTGCAATTCGTTATTTGTTATTTTCCGGAGAGTAAAAGTTTCGTTTTGACAACATTAAGTTTTTATGCCGTTTAAATTGTTTTAAATTTTACACGTTGTAATAAGTTTAAGCCCGAGAGAGTAGAGCTGTGAAAAATACAGTGTCATCAACATAAGCTACAACACCAGTCAAGTTTCCATATATAGTAGTACCGACAATGTGTATATGTTATATAGGTAGGGTGACAGAAACGATCCTTGTCTCCTTCCTTTCTTAAGATCACATATCGGCTGATTTGGAACCTAGGTATAAGACAGTTGCACTGCCGCTAAGATATAAAAAAGATATAGTGTTAACTATTTGGAAAGGTAGATTTTTAATAAGATAACATTTATTAAAAAGAAAACTCCAAAATACGTCAAAAGTCTTTTTAACATCTAGTGAACATAAATAAGTAGGCGAATTGTTACTGTTATAATGCTTGATTGTTTTGCTTATAACAAATTCAGCATGTAGGGTTGAGCTCTTATTATTAAAACCAAATTAAAGTTGACGAATTTTATTTATCTCCGGGCTTATGAGTAAGTAAAAGTATACTAAAAGTTTAGTAAATATGTTAATACCGCGGATTAATGTTAATACCGCGGTTTGGATCGGTTGTTTTTTATATGATTTAACTAGAGGCATAATAGTTTATGTTAAAATTGATGAAATGATTTGTGATTGATTGAAAAGTGAAATAGTTTTCTTAACCATCGTGTTAGTGCGTCAAATTGGGCATGTTTTAGAGAGCATTTAAAATTGTAATGATCCTTGCATTTGTTTGATTTTGGACAAGAAATAGTTGTTTTAATATTTTTATCAGTAATTAATATCACTCCACATTGCAAATGTTCTCATCGTGGATATTTGGTGGAATTTAAAGATTCGAAAATCCATCAGTTAATCTCTCAGTGTTTAACCGTTTTTCAAAAATAGTTGCAAACTCTGCGGTGATGGACTCTTTTTTAATCTTTTTTATTGTTTATTTTGAATTATATGAATTTTTTTACTTCGAGTTAATTCATGAGTCCACCACATGAGTCCACCACATGAGTCCACCAGAAATTTGAACATATAAGTTGTTTCTTTAAGTTTATGTGTTCTCAAAGAGCCAATGTTGCACTAGTTATTGTTATACAGATTTGGGTAAGTTCATTTTCAAAATTACCAATAAAGCTAAGATTAATGAAACTCAAATTTAAGTGATCATTAAGGGATCATACATATGTTATGATCAGACAGATAATGCTGTGTCAATTTATTCTTAACTTTTAAAGTTTACTAACTAATGTTTAGAAAGTTTTTATAAAGAAAAAAGAAACTACTCATTTTAATGAATCTTTTTTCTTTTAATAAAATAATTAATATACAAACAAGATCACAAAAAAAATGTTTTATCTCTTAATGGTTCCTAAGGTTATTAAATTTTCTATTATTCTATATCACGCAAACGAGTGTTGCATAGTCACTTGAAACGATTGTCTTGAAACGAATGTTGTATGGTCACTTGAAACGATTGTCTTGAAACGAGTGTTGTATAGTCACTTGAAACGATTGTGCAACCCAAATAAAAATATAGATTGATATTTAAACAAAACAATGGATAAATTTACGGCAGAAACTTTTTAAGTTGTTTATTTATAAGTTTTTTTACCAAAAAAAACAAAGTTGATATTTTAGTTTATGTTGCTATTTAGTCTTTCGAAAACCCTTCGTTAATACCAGATGTTACTTTTGTTACAGTAGTTTCGGCATCACCATCTATTACAGTTTTTTTTGGTTCCACGGAGTTTTCAGGTCTTGGCTTTTTTACTCTTGCTGGTTTAACTTGTAAAATGGATGGTCCGTGCCGAAAACGTGCTTGTCCAACATAAACTTTAGGCAAAACTAGGCACGCTATAAATGTAAAACCCAAAATATTTGTGGTAAAAGCCATCACTACGCCTCGAAAATCATCGCTCACATACACATAAGTGGGCAAGAATGCAACAACAACAATGCACAAGGCAATACTTCCAAAACTTAAAAATTTTGGCTCGTAAAATGTGTGCTCTTTATTCCGTTCACGTAAAGTACAAAATGTTGCGGCAATAATCAAAATAAAAGGGATAAAAATTGAAACTAATCTGCCGGCAGTCAGCACCATTACGCAGCGTTTCTCAATAAGATAAATTGACTGATTTTCTTTGTTGTCTAAAGACAATCGATCTCCATCAATACTAACCCAAGCTGTAATTGTACATAACTCCACAATCAAAAGAAATAAAACAGTTATTAGTTGTGTGATAAACAACCGTCCCTTTAAAAAATACTTAGCATTGGCCTCGTGGTGTTTCTTGAAATATTTAGTCTTAATTATTAGAACTGAGGAAAAACCCATAAATAACGAAAAAAACATTCCATTTCGCACGTGACATAGTGATGTTGATGGTTCAACTATCTGAATAAATCCAAAACAAAATGAAATTAAACACATAATACATGACAATGAAATTATATGCGGAGATGATTCATCTGTTACAATAAATTCTCGAAACTTTAAAAGAAGACTGCATGCAATTAATGTAAGTAGCAATCCAAAAAAACTTGTGAAGAGAATTGCACTCCCTTCTGCATCACGAAAAGTTAACCATTTTACAGGTGTTTTGATACACGTAATATGATCAATTGTATGATAACCGATGGAACACGTGCTGCATTTTTCTGCCATTGTTGTGTTACTATAATTTTTTCCCGTACAATTTTCACATGTCCAGCAGCAATTGGGTGTTCTAATAGTATACTGTCCGTTTTCACAATTCTTAAAGCATTGAGAACTAGGATGTTGTTTAATCTTTAGATCTTCAAACCAACTTGGCCATCTTATTTGTTCGTAATTAAGAATGAGGCTGTTTATTCGATTTTTACTCCAATTACCAATTGATACAAACTTTAAAGTGTTATTTATAAGTTGTAAGTTTTCAATTGAGTAAAAGATAAAAGTAGAATCGCCTGATTGGTCGAATTGGATTAGCTCATGTTCATCGTTCCAAAAAGAAGTATTTCTTACAATATTAGTCAATGTTATTGGATCAATTTTTTGAATAAAACACTTTTTTTTTTGAACACAATTCAATTGCAAAAACTTAAGAATAGCTCTAGTAAGAATAGTCACTGCATCAACTAAGGTACTTGTTTTTTCACCGAGAGCCGAGAAGTTTTGAAGTAAATTGTTAATTTTAATGGAACAATTGTTTTTTCCAAAAAGAGTTTCGTTGTCATTAGAAATATTTGTTGGTTCGCAGTTGAAAGTATTGTTTAGGTAGTTTTTAAGCCACATGTTGCATAAAAATTTTGTCCTTATACTGTTTTTTATAAAATTAATTAGTTTCGGCATGTTTCGATTACGTACAGAAACTGTGATAATTCCTGTTAGCTGATTGTTTAAATTTTTTAAATTTTCCGCACTAGGAAACCATGCATCGCTGGTCAACCAAACACGGTTTAAACCGATTTCTTGAGCTTTATTCAAAACTTTTTCTCCTAAATTATAAACATAGCAAAATAAAATGATGACTGTGGATTTAAGTGTTTTTATTTTATCAATTGCACTTAATACGGAGCTGTTAGTATCTGCAGAATTAACTGGTATGTAAGATGTATATTCGATACAAATACTGCTGTTAGCGGTACGATTTTGAAAGTCAGCGACAGCAAGTCTACCATAGTCGTCATCTGAACCAATCACGATAATATAAGTCCAGCCAAAATACTTTATTAAGTCCAACATGGCTGATACTTGATGAACATCGGATGGGATAGTTCTGAAAAATGATCGATATATGCTTTTACTAAGTACAGGACTAGAGGCAGCATGACTTATAGTTGGTATTTGATACAGTGACATCAAACCTGATAATGGTATTGTTGTAGTACTTCTATCAGTTCCAACAATTGCGCTCGCTGGTTCAACATTTTCAGTAAATGTCTCGTTCATACAATGTAAAAATTCTGGTCTGCAAACAGAATTTGGACGCACCATTGATACATATTCAATTGCTAATGCCATAGTTAAAGGTAAATTATTACAGTTATCATCAAGTCGAATGCCAATATTAGCCCATTGAGTTAAACTTTCATCATTGTTTGCCAAATCTATTGCATATTGAAAAGCGTACGCATTTATCAAGCCGTAAAGGCTCACTTTTGAACATAAATCATCATCTGAAAACTTGAGAATTCCTTGAATAGTATAATTCCCTTTTTGGATACTAGTGAGCCGAACGGAACCTTGCTGATTGGTTAAAACATAGTTTTTTTGCTGACATTGGTTTTCAGTACTTCCATATGCAGTTGTGATAAAAAACCAAAATGCTTGTAAGATCATTTTCCTTTAAACCTTTATAACATTATAGTATCATATCCTACATAATTTGACTATTTTATACACAATTCAAACATTGCAATTCTAATATTATTATTATTAATATTATTATTGGAAACGATATTTTAAAACAACATATTATTGATATGATAAAATTGAATAAGTTAAAAATGAATTACTTTATACATATTAAATATATTTAAGATATATGTAATATTTCATACAAGTTTTATATCGAATTCACACAAAACAAATAAAAATTTAAAAACAACATAAAAACAAATTACATTTTTTACTTTGTTTCAAGTATTTGACTTGCCTTCTAACATAATTGCAATAAAACTTTCATTAGTTTGCTAAAATTTTATAATTTATATTTTTTTAACTATATTTAAAAAAAACAAAAAAAAAAAAAAAAACATTAAAAACAAAAAAGAAACATAAAAAATCTTTTTCATGAACATTCAATGAAAGGGAGATTAAAGTTGTATATAACAAAATATCAAAAAATATATTGCTAGTAAAATATAAAGTAAATAATCCAATTTAAAGTTTATTGTTTTATTGTTTGCAATTCTTTTTCAATTTTTATTGTTTGCAACTCTTTTTCAATTTTTATTGTTTGCAATTCTTTTTCAATTTTTATTGTTTGCAACAAAATTAATTAAACACGTAATTGAACTTGCAATAAGAATAAACGAATTAATGAAAACAACTAATACAAATAAAAAATAAACAATTGTATTTCATTTCTACTAATATTTTTATTCTGGTGTTTATTTTGTTATCTTTTATATTTGTGATTGCAATAAGTTAAAATAATTTTTTCAAATTTAGAAAAAAAGAGTTTAAGTAATAAATGATAACTATTAAAATTATTTAAAAAAATTTTTTTTAAAAGTTCTAAAAATACATTTCCTGAACAAGAAGACTGCCAGGGGCAGATCGAGACTATCAAGTTAGGGGGAGGGGGGGATAATCTTTAGGTTTTTTTAGCAACCCATATACTTTTTTACCAGCTTACCACCTTAACTTTTGTTTGAATATCAGAAATTATGGCGAAGTTTTTAATTTTATTAATGCTTTTGCAAAACTATTTGTTTATATAGAAAAAAATTTACAACTGCTTAAAGTCTGCAAAACACGATGGGTTAAGAAACATTGGGGAAATTCGGTTAGGCCCGGTCGGCGGGTTACTCCAGGCACTTAATGTACAACTTGAACTATGTGATTTTAAATAATAGTAAAAAAATATATTTGATTGAAATTATGGCATTTGTAAAATATCATAATATGCCGAAGCGATTAGCTGGGAGTGAAAGATATAGTTTTCAACCTCCAGTTGATATATCAAAATATTTGATTCACATATTAACATATCTAATTTTTATGTAAACTAATAACTTTTTATTAATTAAAGACACATTTTTATTTACAATATTTGTTTTTATTTACAATATTTATTTTTATTTACAATATTTGTTTTTATTTACAATATTTATTTTTATTTACAATATTTATTTAAAAAAAAATTGTTTAATACTTTAATTCACTGGTTTTAAAATTTGTGAATGAGGTATGATCGGGTGGTATTGGACACATGTTTGTGAACGAGGTATGATCGGGTGGTATTGGACACATGTTTGGAGGGTGGTTTAGAACAACTTAATCCGTTTACATTTTAAAAATAAGCTATTTTTTCACATAAATAATAATACATTTAATGTAATAAATAAAACCATATTAGTATTTCATTTAATTCCAATAAAAAGACTTTAGATTTGAAAAAAGTTTTTATAAAGTGTATATTTTCATTAGTAAAAAGCTAATGTTTATATTTCTAAACGATGACATTTTCATTCCTATTCCTTTTATATTAGAGGCAATATTAAAGGCGATTTTTTTTATATGTGTAAAGAACAGTCCAAAGCTAATTTACTATATGTTATCATATTTGAGTCACACCGATAAAAAAGAGTTAAAATTATGCTTAAACTGTGATTGGATGGTGCCCGGGGCAACCATCCAATCTTGATGCAATCATTTTTTCTAACCTTTTTTTTCATGTTTTGTATATTATTAAGTTAAAAAATAATTATTTTTTTGTTTCTAGTCATTAGATAAATGTTTATACTTTTAAAAAAGTCTTTTGAAACTTTGTTTTCTGTTAGTATATGTATACAATCTATTTTTTTTTATGTGTCTGCTGCTACCCGACTTTACCCTAACGCTTTGTTGGCGTTTAGTGTTGAGCTCCAGCAAGCAATTGATGAATTGAAATATCTCAATGAAATGATAGAGAATATTCATCAAAAGCAAGAAATTTATTTTTATCAATTAGAGAAAGTGATTTTATTGTGTCTTTTAGCTGTGCTGTATATGTGTTCTATCTAACAAATGGGCTCAGTCAGTTGTTTGATAGAAAGAGTTTAGATTTACATAAAGTAAAAAATTGCAATAAAGATCTTTTAATTGTTTAAGAACAAAAAAGAAAAAACTGCGAAAAAATTTTTTGAGGAAATTTTTAGAGCAACAGAAAAAACAATAATTAAAAAAGATGTATAACAGACAAAAAATATACATTCATAAACAACGGAAGATAATAACAGGCGATCAATTTATACCCCCCTTCTCGATGTACTAATATTGGACATAAATATATCCTTTTCTAATAAAAATTTGCAACGTCTTTAAATTCATTTTTTGATGTCAAAAAATTTTATTACATTGAATCAAAAATATATTGTTGAAGCTGTTTCGGCAATCTGTAATTTCTATGGCGTAATTCTTGGACTTGAAACTTACCTGAACCTGATTTTACATCAGAAGTTATACTATGGAAGTTCAAATGTAGAAAGATGAAGGATGAAACGAATCACATTACTGCTTACAGATATTTTTGTTGTTTTTGATTTGTGTGATTAGGTGCAATATCAAATCACTCACAAAATGTTTCAAATTGTTAGGTCATGTTCTGTAAGTGTTGCCAATGCTAAATGTTGTCTATCAACCCTGCAAGGAATTAAAAGCTGTCTAAGAACACGAATGACAAAAAACACATTGTCAGATTGACCTTACTTAAAATGTACAGAGAAGTTTCAGTAAATGTTGAAACTGTGATTGACCGATTTATAAAGTCGTGAAATTTCGAATTTGTTGACATGGGCGGCAAATCCGGGTTTTAAATGCGTATTTAATTAAACAGCTAAACTCATTAATTTTTGTCAAATAGTTATGTTTTGATAACTTTAAATTACTTTAAGATATTTTAAAATTTCAGCTAACATTGCTTTTTGTATAAAGGATTGCAAACGCAAAGCGTTAATTACGAAAAAACCATGTAAGGAAGGAAGAGGTCCGTCCACGGAGACTGGGGCTAGTTACCTCTGTTACTACTCTTTGGCCCATTTTTTAAAGCAAAATTAAATTTAAGATAGAAATCTTTTTTACCTGAATCCAAAAATTAAATATTTTTAAAAGCTTGTTGCAAATATAATTTTATAAAAATATTTTATACACAAGTATGGTATAAACTTTACACGCATGTGCAAATTTATTTAAGATGATTCTTTACAATTTCTTAAATTTTTTAGGGAAAGATTCTTAAGTTAAACGCACTTTATTAACTTACCATCTTGCCAACCCAGCGGGCTTTTCACATTCAAAAGACGTCAGATCGAAACATTAAGATCTGATACATATAAGGTATCTAGATGAAATTACTATAAACTATTGATACCTATTATGTGAAAAAAAATATATAATGGCCTTATAATGGCTCAAATGTTTGTTTATATCTGGATTAATCCATTTAATGAACAAACTTTCCTTTATTTCAAGTTTAAGTCTTTTGGGAACAGAATCTAATTTTTGTCTCTCTCCTGTAGTATTCAATTATTTGTGTTTTGAGGTGGCAAGGAGTTTCGCCTATATAACAGGAATTACATCCTGTGCATATAAATTTATAAACAACGAATGATTTGAAATCTTTACAAAGAGAATCTTTTGATGAAAATATATGATAAATTTTGAAAGAGGTAAAAAATAAATTAAAGGTTACAGATTTTCAATGTTTTTTAATGGTAGAATTTAAATTTTTTGACTTGAATAGATACATTACCAACATAAGGAAGTTAAAATGAGTCTTTCATGATTTTTAGTTTTTGGATTCATATTGATTAGTAAAAAAAGTTTTTTTTGTTTAGATAAGAATTATAAATTTTATTTATAAACCAAGAATTGTTGCTTGAGAAAATTAAAACGATTAATGTCAGAGTAAAAAGTATTACTTTTAAAGAATTAAGAATTTCATTAAATTTATCTTCTATAAAAAGAGATGAAACAACAAAAAGGATATTTGAAGGACAGAACACGGTTCCTTATGAAAAATGGAAGTAAATGGAAGAACTTTTTACTTTGCCATATTATTCCAAAATAAAAAGATTTTAAATTCCTTTTTCTTTTCCCTGGTAAAAGATATTAAATTATGTCTTTTATTAAATTATTGTCAAGAAAATGGTGTGCATCATTTTCTGATAAGAATGCGGCAAAAATGTCATCAACGTAAATGTAAAATCAACATCAATGTAAAATACTGGCTTGACTCAATTGTATGATTTTAGCCATTTTTCTTCAAAATGACCCATAAATAAATTGACAAAAACTGAATCTGGTCGGCAACACAATCTCTTCGGCTGAAAGTTTTTTATTTAAATCAAAAATGAGATTGCTATGTTGCAAAGATAAAAAGTTTTTTAGTTTTAAGATTATCAACTTTTTTCATTATCTTTTTTATTAACTCTTTTAGCACATGTTAGTTATTAGGCCTGGATATCAAAATAAAAAAATAAAAAAATCATGAAATATTTTTATGTAAAAAGTAAAATAAACAAGAGGAATATTGATTTAAACAAAAACTTTGACGCAACAAAAGTAAGTTGGATAAAAAAAGTTAAATTGGATAAAAAAGTATTATTTAAAGCTTACCAAATATTAATTTTAAT